TTTCATTACTCATTTGTTCCCTCACATTCACATAATGTCCTATGTTTATAGTATTATTTTCATGTCATTGTGGATGAAGATTCATATTGAAATAATTGTAACCTAGCATTGGAATTGCCCCGTAACAGTATTTGAAAGTATTCTGGAATGTTCCACAATGAGTTGGAATTATTCATGTTGTTTCAGAATGCTTAGACTATTCGCGAACATTCTACAGTATCCCATAATGTTCCTAAATATTCTGGAACATTGCGGAATGCTCTCGAATACACAAAAGTAGTGAACTGTTGAAGAAATTTCTAGAGAGTTGAATTTCAGCCCCAATATCTTCAAAAGCACGCTTTTCAGGTGAAAACGAAAACTTTTATCATGGCTAAAGAACAAAGCGCTACAATACCATACAACTTCCCTGACCATTTCACCATCATGGTGCAATAAAGAAAGGGATGTGAATTTAATGAAAGCATTGGAAATGAATGAATCATATAAACACCACAATTTCGAAACCTCCAATTAGCAACTAGAACTATGCAGCTCTCCTTGTGTGAATTTTGACATATACAGGGTGTTCCTTAAACACCCTGTATATGCTAATATTCAAGGAGGTAAATCTTAGACCCATTTTAAGAAAAAAACTTCCTATGAACGTATGTCCTAAACGCCTTAACTTTTGAGATACAGAGTGGCAAAGTTTTCAAAAATAATCAGTTTTTCAATAATAACTGAGACAATTTTGTAGACATCTTTGGCATATTTGGTACATATGTTCCATGCCTCAAGGCNAAACAAAATTTTAAACAAATGAATACATGAACTCAACACTCATCAACTCGCAGACACTCTTATAATATGGAAGACTGTGCTATGGAACATCACATAGAAATCGTCCATCATGCGCAACAACTTCCAACCGAAAACAAACAACGAAAATCGAATCATTTGCAATTTGCAAGGAATTAATTGTGTGTTCTGAATTTCATATTCGTTTTCTAGAAAACATTTGTTGTATGTAATATCAAAGGTGCGTTCTGTTTTATGTTTATCCTCATTACATAAAGTTATGATATCTTCCTGTGTTAAGCTCGGGATATCTTGAGGACTGGATGGAGATAACATACAACCTCATCACGTTTCGTCCTAAGGAATAAACGAGGGAAACTCATGGACGCAAAGCCATATTCTTACTTGGAACGTCCTACAATAGTAAACTGCGATTGAGGTGAGATATTCTTCGGATCTTATCTGGATGTCAGCAAAACATATTCCATCGGGAAGCTGACAATAAATATCCTTGGGATGACGTGAGATCAATTAACTCAGGATGTCCTGCTGAGCTACAAAGGCTCTATTATAATATCCTGTAGTTAATTATGGAATTCGTTACGAGAATTGTAAAGGTTTAAATTTCTGAATTCAAAAGAATCAGTCGAGTCGCCCTGTAGGTTCATTATTTTATCAGAATATTGCTGGGATGGTGGGTTGTCTATTAAGCAGGAGTAAATAAAACCGAGGAGATTTTCACGGTCAGGATTTAAAAACGATTCAGATTAATATTTATCGTAAAGCCGACACGAAAACAAGGCTTTGGCTAGGGACCGTCCGAAACCTAAAAACATCTAAGGTTTTTTGGACAAGAATAATAAGATCACCTGTGAAAGATTCACGTCGAGCACTATCCGATATTTTATTATTTTTTTTTGGTGGTAAAAAAGCTTTCAAGCCTGGTAATTGGAGAAATTCTTCGGAAAAGCTGTAGTTGCATCATACATGTCGTTTTTTCAGATACGAAGAGACATTCTAGGAAGTACCGACGGAGAACCGTAGCAAGTATAAAAAAATATCAAAAATGATGGTACCCCTTGAGTAGAAGCCCTGATATTGATCATATATTTTGGAGCAGTCTGATTACTGAAATCTACAGTTCATTCCTTAAAAAGCGGAAGATAGTTTAAGTATTTACCTTTTCTCTGTGCACCTAAGACAGCTGTTGACGGGGGTAATAATTATCGAGTTTAATTGTAGTTGATCGAAAAGTAGGTTCTGGAAATATTGAGATTCAGACAGTTACTTTTCATTACTCATTTGTTCCCTCACATTCAATTTATCCAATGATCTTACTGTGTCGGTTCAATACTCGAATATTTTGATTTAATATTGTCCCGTGATAAAAGTTTCCCAGTAGTAATATCGTGATCAAAATGGCCTCTAACCACGTATTAATATCTTCACTCGATTGGTATTAAGTATTGGTTCTTTAAACTTGGTGCATATATATTAGCCTGATTTTTTCTATATAAGTTCGTTGCAAATAATATAGGAAAATAAATTTTTGGGTCATTACACATCAGTTGATAGTGAAGTTTGTGAATATTTCTTTCTATTTATCAATTCAAAATAAATTTTAAACTTGGAGCTTCGTTGTTGACTCTTTGGCCATTCCTCTACCCCTTCCCTGTTGAATCCGTTCAACTGGTGCCCCAGGGCTTACTTTTTTCCATCTAATTTGAGTGTAAAAACATATTTTTCTTACTCACGTCCAGCCCCGACAATAATCGACTAGCCTGAGACGAGTTACTTTTTGCTAATTACATAAATTCCAAGGTAGGTCATAAAACAAAATTGGAGATTGATAATTGGAGAATTACACAAGTAGGTTTTTGGGATCAATAGTTGGTATAGTATTCCCAATACCAATTGGAACAGCACAGAGAAGGAATTCCCGCCTCGACATAGGCGTCGGCATATTATTTTCCAGTGAATTTTTTCAGTTACTTATTCTTACAATCATAGCAGTTGATCACCCCATGAAAAAGTTATCTCAACTGAATTTTTCCACCATGGGTAATTATGAAAAACTTTGAAATTTGAGGTAGTTGATTTCCGAGTCGAAAACTCTAAAATACAATGAAAACACAAATAATCACACCGAATTCTCGTCAAACATATATTTACAAAATAATAGAGGCCAACAAAATTGCTAGAAAAATCANTGCTTGACAATATAAGGCGAGTGGTGAGTGAAGTAGGTAATAGTGATGTGTGGAAGAACTGTGTGGCCCACGTTATCAAAGAGGAGAAAAAATATTATGTGCAAAGTTCCATAAATCCGATCGTTATTCAACCCGATGATGACTCCACCTGATCCGAATATAGCGAAGAAGAATTTTGATATTTCTAGCAATTTTGTTCGCCTCTATTATTTTGTAAATATATGTTTGACGAGAATTCGGTGTGACTATTTGTATTTTCATTGTATTTTAGAGTTTTGCAAAACCACTCACTACGTCACCTAACCTATCTGGGCGACTAGGGGCCATAGGCAAGAAATGTTTATGACTGTACTCTCATTTTCATTGTTGTTCCAATTGGAAATGGATAGACTATAACCTTTATATTTTATTCGAGATAAATAGTTATTGTTTTGGTAGTGGTATTGATAATTCAGGTAATATTTGTTATTACATAAATGATAACGGACATCTTCTTGAAGCTACATCTGTCAAATTAGTTGACATTTATTGATTTGTGGGTACGTCGACGATACGTGAGGTTTGCTGAAAAAATCGCAGTTGTCTGTGAGAGTGTGCAGGAGAATCTGCGGCAGTTGATTTCGCATCGCTCACAATACCTCGGCCTTTCGCAGATCACAACTTGGCGAATTTCATGTCGTGCCTTGAGCCTGTACCCGTCCAAAATTCAACTGACCCAAGAACTGGAGGTAGACAATCATAGACAATGACGTGTGTTCGCTGAATGGGCTCTGGAGCAGTTGGCAACTAACTCTAATGTTCATCGAAAAATCATCCTCAGTGATAAGGCCCAATTCCGGATGAATGGTTACGTGAACAAACAAAATTGTCGAATTTGAGAAGATATTAATCCACATGGGATCCAAGAGAGTCAGAAGCATCCCAATAACGGAGAGCACTCTGGGTTCATAATTACCAACTTTTTATGAATTCGATGATCTGGACATCAACGACATGTGGTTTCAACAAGACAGCGCTACATGCCACACATCACAGGCTACATTGAATATTCTGCAC